TGATGATTTCGTAGTAGATAAATATTTTAATTTAAGGGAAGGTGATAAACAAGATTGGATTATTCGAGATATTAAAGATCTTGATAAAAAATCAAAATTAGAATTAGACAAACTTGATAAACTTTATGAACCTTGGTTACCTATAGAATCTGAAGGTATTAGATCACCTAAAGATGATGATATTCAATATTCGCTCTATCTTGATGAAAAGAAGGAAAGTTGCTTATAATCGGAAACCATACAGTCCAAGTTTGGTATAGAGAAACACTTAAATTCATTTTTTCTCCTTCTCCCTTTTTTGACGTACCCGATGTCTCTGAAATACTTAAATGGCATCCCCAAAAAATTGAAGTAAAAGGCATCGAGTATTGTAGCGAAAAATTCAAGTTTAATATTCAAATTAAAGATGATGAAGGAATTAAACAAATTAAAATGGAAGATGAAGATGATATTATGAATGTAGCAAAATATGCCTGTCTCACACTTGAATATTTCTATGCGTATAAGAAAAAGTTTGAAACGGGTTATGATAAGATGGAAAGATCAAATTTCGATGATTTCATCAAACAAACGCGAAAAATAATTTTGAAACTTGTTAGATTGCATCCAACCGAATGGCGATTGTTGGATATTCGCTTTGACTTAATGAGCACTCTTGTAAAAGCAGGGGAATATGATCTTGTATATTATATTTTATTTTTTGGAGAACTGGTCCATATACCGCAATATTTATCTTGGTCAGGTAAAAATACGGTTAGCACAACTATTCGTACTGCTCTTTCAGGTTTGTATATTTAAAATTATGTGAGCTACTTGTAAATTTACTATTCATTTTACATCAATATTAATATTTTATTTTCATATCGGAAGATGATACTATGCTGGCATGCTTTTTAGAATATTATTCTAATAATGCAGTTTATAATATTGGATGGATGAATACAGTTGTAGATATTATACCAGAACTATTTATAATAGGAAACCATAAATATTATGCTCAAAAATTATTTTATAGTCCCTGCTTTTGTGACAAGGAATTTGATTTATTCTCTTTCGAAATTCTTGAAGTTTTCCCAAAGTCAAATGATTTATTAAAAGTTTGTATACCTATAACGCAATTGATTCCACAAAATTCTGAGTTGGATCTACAAGAGATCGAGTATGAATATAGCCATTTGCTTTTAAAACATTGTTGCATTCTAATTAATTCTATCTTACAATAGTTATGACAAAATTGCTAATCTCCGGATGGTACCTTTAATGGATTTACAACTAACAAAAGAATGTCTGAAATTAAAAAAGGAAAACAAAAAAATTTTCTGGAGATTTTACTTACTCCTAGTCGATATTTATCTCCTGGAGAAGTGGATCACAGTCCTCTTATTAAGCTCATAGAAACAGGTGAACGTGATATTTTATATGAAAACCCGTCAATGGGAGCTGTTATAAATTGGATGTGGTATTCTTCTAAATTTTATTGGCCTAATACCTTGTATATTTTTGCCTTGTACTTTTTAACTTATTCAATTATTTCTTGGGCATATATTGCCCATATTCAAATAACTGGTTTAATTCAGCACATTCTGATGATTACAACAATTGTATTATTTTATTATTTATCATATTATCACATAATTATTGAATTAAACCAATTCAATTCTAAAAAAAAGTATTATTATTTTGACCGTTTTAATTGGGTAGATCTTCTATTACTTTTCACAGCGATACCTATCTTTAGTTATATTTTGATTCGATATTATACATTTGAGAACGGGTTTAAAAATGCTGAAAGTAGTCAAATTTTTACATTTATTATTTTCTTAAGTATTTTAGTTTTTTGGTGCGAGTTTGTAAGTATACACTTATCTATATAATCGCAAATTATTTTTCTATGTTATTCATTAATTTCATTTCTGTCAGGTTTTATTATTACGTATATTCGAAGGTATAGTACGGTTAATAACAATTCTTAATTAATGGCTGCATAAACTTATAATTTTTATATCAAAATCTAGATTTTATGCAAAATCTTGATATACTTTTTAATATTATCATTGCTCTACGACAATTTTTATTGTTTTTTATTCTAGTTATCATTGCAATGGTAAGAATTATTTATATGAACTTTTCTAATTGATATTCTTATTAAAAATACTTAAATTATCGTGCTGCACTACCAGGGACATGCATTGTAAGTTTTATGAATTTATTCTTCTGACGCTTGCTAAAGTTAAAATTTTAAAATATATTTGTCAATTATATATAGATTTATTCTTCTGGGCTATTCATCTTATATTGATTTAAATCAGACTAGCGGGGAACTAAATAATCCATTTTCAAATATTATTGATGCTATACTTGCAGTATATGATTGGTCTTCAATTTCGTTTGATACTTGGAATTTCTGGCCACTTATAATAATTAGTGTAATTGGTAGTTTTATTTTTGTAATTATATTGCAAAATATAATAATTTCATTCATGAGGTATGTTCTTAATCTTATTATTTATTATTATTATATGGTTATTATTTATTATTATTATTACAGTATTATTATTTCTCGCAGACATCTAATTCTTTTTTAAAAAAATAGTGAAGCCTTTTCTAATGCAGTCGAAGATAGTAAACATGGTTTATATCGTTATCAAATTGACTTGATTTATGATTTTGCCCATCTTGAAAAATCATTAGAATTTAATAAGCTAGATTCCAAGTTTAAGGATAAAATAAGAGCAAAGTATATCTGTTTTTATGATAATCCGCGTATTACAAAGTCTTGGAAAAAAACATCTGAACAAATTAAATCAAAACCATATCCTAAAATTAAAACATTAAGTAAGAGCGAATGTGAATCTTTGACCACTAAAGAAGATATTTACTCTAGTAATTTGATTTCATTTTTTATTTGTTTATTTATTTTTTATTGTTTTTTTTTTTTTTTATATTCATTTATTGTACTT